GCAGATAGCCCTCGTGTAGCTTTGAGCGAAATTCAAAAACAAACAAACAAACAAACGCATTTTTGCAGCAACGAGACGCGAACCAAAAATCCTCTAGTTAATGGTCCGTGTCTCGCTAACCCTAGGCAACACTAGTCCATGCTTGCTAAGAAATGATTATAAAATCACCCCACTGATACAATTACGATACATATGACGTTGTCTTAGGCCGTCTCTAAATGAATTATATGTTAAATGTCAGACACGCGTGTTGGTTTAAAAACAAATCAGTTTTTAAAATTCCACCGAAAATTAATCTGGAAACTTGTCATTTGTGGTACCGTTCTCAGTCCTCACTTCTACTCACAGAACACCTCCGGGTCGGAGGGGTGTCACCGATACACCTTGATATCTTCCCTTCTCACAGCGGAAATACTTAACCAGTTTACACGAAACATATAACAAATAGTATCTAGTTTCGGCTTTATGATTATGTGTCAACAAAAGGTTAAGGGTCAAAACCATCGCTAGCAGCGAGGGTACCAAACTGATGATCTAGTGCAGAGGGATCATAAAAGTTTTTATACTTTTGCCTGTTACTCATAATTTACAGTATTTGTTATTAAATATAATTACCATTGTAAAATCTTAGTGGTAAAAGTTGTCACGTCATATTTTTAAACAACTTTCCCCCCTAGTGATTTAATAAAGTATTAAAGACTACTGAGTTTCTGATGCTACATGCAGTTTGATACATGTTAGTAAACAATATAATTTTGATTTTTCGTGTGGCTTTAATTTACACACACCAGTTAGATGACTTTTGTTGTTATTTTATGTCATTATGATATGGTTTCTGAAGAAACCCTTTCTTGTTTTATTTTGCCCCATTTTAAACTTTCCTAACTTATGACCTGACATCGAGCATAGAAATTTAGTTAGGAGGGCCTTACAGAGCATGATTATATTTCCCCCTGTTTTTTATAATACAGCTTCAGTCACTCCTTCGAGTTTGTATATGTTTATAATATCTCATTAGCTCCTACTCACGTGCTATCAAAGGTATTTCGTACTTGACGTGATAACATCCAGGGACGAGTAAATCATTTCAAATTGTTTACGATACCAAACTCTTAAGAGAATTATATTCAAGTTGTCATAATTTCATTAAGTTTAAAAACAAACCTATAAAGCCCCCAGTCAGCTTAAGAATTGAGTTCGAGCCCTCTGTTGTATGGAAGTTATACTACAAATATTGAGAAGCATACATGTTGATAGTAAACAGTAAAATTTATTCGCCTGGTCCTAAAATATTGCGGGAAAACGTTCTGACGAAGGCAGACTTCATAACACTGAAATGTTTTCTAGCCAACACTATATGGTTAGACAGATGGTTCGTTGAAGTTCTGCCACGTATAGCAGCTGATTGAATCACTTACTTGAAATTCACACAGAAGGAAAGACAAAAAGAATCATGGTACTCCGATCAGAAGAATAATTACAAATTCATGAAGGCATGCTTGTTCTTACACTACTTAAACCTCGTGCATCTCGATATGCAATTTAGTTAGTAATATAATATTAATAACACACATGAGGAATAAAGGGTTTTAGAGAAAACTGGGTTGATTTCAGTATTACTGCTGCTTCTACGGTAACTCACCATCTTAAGTGTGCTTTTATTAAACGCTTTATATTTAAACTAATTATTAATTTCAATGTATTGCTCTACTCTACCCTCACATTAATAAAAAAATATATTATTAGCTTCCTTGAATCATTCTACTTTGCTCTTATATTAATAACTAGCGAAAGTAACTGGCTTCGCTCAGGTTATTAGGTTGATAATGTGTGTATTCTGAACTCATTTTAGCATAAAAGTATGACCTATATACTTTTATTGCTAAGCAACATGATATTGGAACGCATTGTTACCAAAAAACGCACTGGCTTTTCTATATATATCAGAAGGTGTTATATAAGAAATCATTTATTTTCCATGTGATTTTTCGCTAGCTTGCCTCATTAAAAATATGCATACGCACGTGGATAAGATAATTACTAATACTCAGGTGCACACCCTCAGGGACCACTTAGTATGGGTGCAAAATCTCTTGGAGCTATGACGGTCACACAGACACGCATTTGCAAACGCGCACGTGCACACACGTGTGTGTCTGTGATTTATGTTTGTAATATAAGGAACAAATTAATTTCTATGTTGTTTTTCGCTAGCTTGCCTCATTAAAAAGATGAGTAATAATACCCAGGTGTACACTCTCGGGGTCCACTTAGTATGGATGCAAAATTTCAGGTTTCTAGTTTCTTTGCTCTTGGAGCTATGACGGTCACACACTTCTCTTCTATGTGGTTTCTCGCTAGCTTGCCTCATTAAAAATATGCGCAAGCTCATGCGTGCGCGCACAAACGTGGAAAAGTACTAATACCAGGTGCACACCCTCAGGATCCATTTAGTATGTGTGCAAAATTTCAGGTTTTTAGGTTCTTTCCTCTTGGAGCTATGGCGGTCACACACAGACACGCCCTTATATTATTATAGATAAAAACGCTTATTAACTTTAATGTATTGTTCTACATTCCCTCTATATACATAAAAATCAATTATTATCTTCCATATATTGTTTTCCCTTACTGTTCTAATAATATAACGAATTATTACCTTCCATATATATCGTTCTTCCCTACCTTATATTAATAAATACCAATTATTATCTTCCATATATTGTTTTATCCTAACCAATTGTTATATCTCATGTATTTTTCTACTCTACCCTTATATTAATATAAAACAATTATTAGATTTCATGTGTTGTTCTATACCACCATTATATCAATAAAATAATCTGCGTACCACTGCAGAATCAGTTTTGTTGAAATTCAAGACAAACTTTTATAACTGAACTATTTGGAAAACATGATATGTATTGCTATTTAACTTTTTTTTTAAATATTCCAGCCATCCACCCAAGAACACATTAACGTCATCATGAAAGACGACGATAAGCCCAGATTATTAGTAGACCGACCCGTGTTGTCCATGGCAGACTGCCAACTTAGTGGTGTGGACGACTCTACCATGGGTCTTGACGACATCGACGAAGGCTCTCGTGCTTACATGGAAAGATTAAAACGATGCTTTCGTGACAACTGTCGTCGTCAGTGCTCTCCCGTGAAAGTTGGGAAGTCGGTGATGTCATTATTTCCCATGATCAGCTGGTTACGTAACTACAACATAAAACGAGATCTTGTCTATGATATTGTATCAGGATGTACATGCGCAATCCTTCATGTACCACAGGGTAAGTACTAGAATTAACAGAGAATGTAAAAAATTAAAATATTAAAACTCTGTTTCAACTCTTGTGTTTATAGTCACATAATAAACAATAATTTATTTAATCTAAGCCCCTTACATAAGAATAAAGAATCCAAGCTAAAGTGAGATCTCAGCCCACACTATGAGATAAGTTTGTAATATGGATGCTTAATCTTTGCCCACAAGATCACCTAGCACCCCAGTGGCATAGCGGTAAGTATTTAGGTTTACGACGATAAAATTCGAGTTTCGATTCCCGTGATGAATAAAGCACATATAGCCTAGCTTTGTGCTTAAATACAAGTTACAAAAGCTATCTACCTTTAATCTAAATAAAGTAGTCAATATTAAAATCAGTAATAAAATATAAAAACATCTCCAAGTTTTGTCATCATTATCAGCATTATTTGATAATGTGGATTACTATTATTATTATAGCATTCACGGAGACATTTTGAAGGATCTTAATAGTTTATGCCACAGAAACTCTTTTATTGTCTTTATTTAGTTTTCTAATATGTGTAATTTATGGTATGAGACAAGTAAACCAACATAATAGATTTGAGGATATTTTCAAAACTTATAACTTTGTAACTTTTCATCTTTCATTTAGGGATGGCCTTCGCCCTGTTAGCCGCCGTCCCGCCTGTTTATGGATTATACACGTCCTTCTTCCCTGTTTTGTTGTACAGTTTTATGGGAACGTCTATGCAATTGTCTGTTGGTAAGTGTCTCAAAAGAATACTGACACAGAAAAAGAAAAGTAATTTTTTTTAGGAAAAGTTTTTTCGAGTGCACGATATCCTGAGTATTCATATATATATATACATATAAAAGTTTTTTGGGAGAGTTTAGTGAATGGAAACTTTCTTCCTTGCAGACCATGATGGTTTTTCTGTGAGTGATTTTAAATTAATGTTTCTTAACCCATGAGTCACGACCCAAAATTGGATCTCCAAACTGTGTGAAAGGATCGCGAACAAACTTTGAAAGTAGATAACAGTTTATTTATTAATTTAGTATGTATTTAATAAGACAGATGTATTAACTGGGTTGCAACTGGGTCCTGAGCTAAAAAAGCGTTGAGAATCACTGCTCTAAATATTTCGTAATGGTTGATAGTTGGATAAAAAAACACAATAAAAAGGATGCATTGTTAATAATAATTTATTCTTAAAGAATTTTGTAATTACAAACTTTGGTAAGCTTGCGAAAGCGATACCTTCAAAGTGAACTTTGAAACGCTATTTTGTTCTCCAGCGGCTGAGTTCAAGCTTTAAAGTCCAGTTTTCGATGTCAGTGGTAGCGCAGCACAGATGGCCTATTGTGTAGTTTTCCAAAAAAACTCTTCATCGGAATCTATATATATATATATATATATATATATATATATATATATATATAAATATAAAACAACAAACTA